AGTCTCACCTCGACACACTTCGAAATCATAAATTTCAATTGATGATCTATATCCACTGCTACCACCACTTAAAGATGCACATTCTTGCCTCATTGCTAAAACCACGGTCAAATTTTAAGATTTTTAAGATTTTTTTAATCTTTTATATTTTAAGGTATGCCAGGCAATAGTAACATTAACTGTAAATTCGATCATTCGTCAACCAACCGGAACATTTGAAGCGCGGTTCGGACGACGTGCGACTAGAGCGCTAATCGATTGGCTGCGGCAGGTATCCATCAACTTTCCAAATATGTTGTGTAGCTTAGACAAGTTCAGGAATATTTTAATAGACCATTTTAAGACTAATAATTTTGTTCCATGTTTAATGTACCATGTCCCCTTCCCCCCTTTCATACAAAGAGGAAAACTGTTTGAAAAATGTTCAACTGACAGCTGCCACAGTAATAAGGGATTTCACTACGGTCATTTCTGCGTTATTGCATGGATGAAGCCATTTGCCTTCCAAATTGGCCAAACAGCCAAACGTTTTTCCTTAACATATTCAAATGTAAAAGCCCACATAAAATACAAGTAAATCTCACAATAAGACATCTCAGTAACAATGAAGATCAGAATTCTGGAACTGATTAGTTTCAATTATTTTATTTTTGAAGCTCAGATTTGGATTATGAAGTTCAAATCGCTTAATAAGCTTTTTTAGAATGGACATAGTTATCGATCAAATATTAACGTGATTGTGGCAGATTTTGTGGATGAGGACGGTTTTTGCAGCACTATGATTGATCTGAACAAGTAAGGAAAGAGGTCTACTGATACGATCATTAACACATATATTTACGTGTAATATATTTCGTGTAGCAGTTGTTACTGAATTGTTCAAATTCTACATAATTAAAACTTTTAAAACTAACTGCTCAAACGACTTTCTCCTTTCTTTTTCATTCGGGAGGATTAATCAATTTTTCACTAAAGTTTTTGTACTATTCTGCCAGAAAAATGAGATTTCGGATAAGATCTGAGTATCAAAAAAAAACAAGCTAGAAAAATAAATTTCCGGTAAGCAGCATAGCCGTCTCATAAACACCAAAAAAACGAAGCCACCAATACCCATCCAAGCGGAACGAGGCAAGATACCAGCATAAAGTCCTCGGTATCCGGATGTTGTCCATATTTTTGCCAACATTGCCGGTATCCCCAGACGTGAAGCGTTCTCATTCAACATTGTCTGCGTTTTCACCACATCGAGAGGTGTTGTCATGGCTGCAGCTATACTTCCTGATACACTGCCACATGCTGCTGATTCCAATGGCGTACACTGTCTTTTCCGGACCCTAAAACAGCTTAGTGGTAAAAATGAGGTGTTCCAGCCACCGGAACCCAATTAGAAATCTAAGCCAACAAGGCAGGATGAAGCAAGCTCATGCTTACAATGATTTTGGAAGAGCATCAAAAGTACAAGTATCAAAATGAACAGTATATGAGTGGAGATTTCTACAAGAGTTATCTCTTTTCTTTAACGACTACGCTGCAGTTTGTGCTAATTGTACAACATTCAATCAAAATGTATTTTGCTCATTCAAAACAAGTAACTTCAAAATGGGGGATTAATCTAGCAATGTATGAATTCTTGAAATTATGCGATAGCAATCAGAGCTTCAGTTGATAGCAATTTACCGGCTAAAAAAATATGTGAATTGCATGGATACTGAAGAATGAAATGATGAGTGAATGTGATGGGAAAGTGAACAATTAATTTTAATATAAGCTTTCTATATATTAAGATTAAGACTACAATAGTAATAATAAAAAAAAATGCTACGAATGTGCACATCTTTTAAAATAGCTTTTACTGAGAAAAATTCCAAAAACATTCTGAACAGTTCCGTCCGACATAACGTTTATTTTAGTGGCTCAAGTGAGTTTGTGCGGATCTAACAGCTCACTGTCATGCAGACCGTCATGGAGCTTCAATTTAACAAGTTCTTCTGTGGGATGGCAAATGTTTTAGGGAGATGTTCACAGTGAGAAGGTGCATGTGTTAGTGAGACAACTAACAAACTCGTGGCTAAACTCGTGCTATAGTAGAAACTTTAGCTAAATTGTTAACACTAGAAAATAAACTAAACTAGCAATGTAATGATTAATTTCGAATCCGAAAGATTTTTGTTACCAAGTGCCAGTGGCTCTGACGACACTGTTATTCACCATTTGTTCAAATGTTGATGTTTGCCTAACGATAGCAACAAAGACGAAATAATAGCCGTGGATGATAGATCGAGCAGCAAATTATATGAACAGACATGTGTATTTATTCTCTGGTAAAGTCATCCTAAAACTCCTTGGTAAAGTATAGGAATCAATTACCAGCTAGAATCAAGGACCAGTCAAAGGCTATACAGACCGCATCAGGAAAAATCGATCCTACTCGAGCTATTCAATTCATTCGATAATTTAGTTTGCTATCAACTGAAGCTAACATTTAATGTTGCACACCAACGGTTTCGTGATCTTGCAGACAATGTTAAAGTAACTTCAAATTTTTAACAACACACATCAAACAACTGATTAAAACAAACCCCGCTACTTCTTGCTTTAAAACTTCCCAAAGAGGAAATTCGATGAGCGAAAATGGAATTTCCCGGCATACAGTGCTCAAGAAACCCTGATAAAACCCAAGAAATCCTGAAAAAAAAACTGGAAAAGCATTATTTAAATATAAGAGAGCTAAATCCAGATTCTACAAACAATTACAAATTACTATACTTTTAACGAAAGTAATATCCGAGCCTCAAATAATTGGCGCAATGATTAAAATATCGTCAGTAACAGATGAACTTTGAACGCATTTTGCTGCCAGGATAATGAATCACTACGAAGGGAAAGAGAGGTGCCAATTTTTCAGCCAAAACGAATAGCTTTTGGATTTTTAACGAAATAATGGAAACTTAGCATTAATTTGTTAGTTAATGAGAGAATGAAGACCCATTTAGAAGTTTTAATTGGCCCCCAAGTGAAGAAGGCATCACGGAAGTGGATGAATCAAGAGACCTTAAGACATAGGAGACCCCTCATTACCTCTATTCTCAGACTTTCACGATTTCAAGAATTTCAATTATTAATTTCACAATTATCATATAACTGTTCCTGTCAAATTGCATAATAAAACACATATTCTTGACTAGTCGTAAAGGAATCATTTAAATCCTGAGTTTCTCAGACTACGGTGATATGAATAAAAAAATATACCACTTTGCTTATAAATCATTCGGCATATTTTTCCTAAATGATGGTCAGATCTTGCCTGCGCACGTTGTTTCACTAGTTCGGTAGGTACCCGTAAAACACAAGCAACAACTTCCGAAAAACTAGCTGCACCTGCGTTTATAGTTACTGCTGAAAAGTCTTTTACTTTATTAAAAGCAATGCATAAAATAGACCTACCACTTATGAAGGGAAAAAAATATTCACCAAAAGCATTAACTGATATTTTATTTATTTGCCAATAATATTATCTGATGTTTATTCTCTCCAATTGCGGGTAATGATAGTGAGTTAGTAAAAGTATGAAGGATGTTCGATTTATGCTGTTAGCATTTGCAGTTCGAAAAAAGTCCCGCAGACTTCCGCAGAGTTTAGTATATATCAGTGGCTTATCTCAACCAGCTATAATTCTGACTCTTTTCATATATAATACACCAACAGCAGTATCCAACAAATAACATTTTAATGACAATTATTTACTTGCATTCTCTACCGGCTATTCCTCTGAGCGTATTATATGTAGAGAAGAATAATGCAGCACTCGGTGCAGAACCAACAGCCACCGATCCCATACCATGATAGATATTTCGTAGTCCGCCTGCAGCATAAAATCCCTGAAACATTATAGCATGTTGAAGGTATTTACAACAAGAATGTCTGCATCATATATTCCTGTTCCGCACTGCAAAACGTAAAACAACCAATCGGTATGAGAAGCGCATAAAATTTGGGATTTTTTCAGGATGTGGAAAGTAAAGCACATTAGGATTTTATACGTTCAAAAAAAAAAATTGAAGCATATTTTGGAACGTAATCTGAACGTATTTTATACATTCAGATTTTATACGGATTTTGGATGTTTATACGTATATATGTTCAAAATCCTATCGCACATAAATAAACGATATGTAAAACGTATAATATGGGAAATGACCGGCAACATAATTACCTCGGAACTTTGCAGTCTAGTCTTGATAGTATCCAGTGGATACAGTGTCAAGTCTACAACCAATCCAGCAGCAGCACCACAAAATAACGGTCGACCAAACCAGTCCATGACGACTCGATGATATTAGTGGTAAATCATGAGCTGATTGGTACTGAGCAGTTCAACTAAATGCTAAAAAAAGAGCCCTATAAAAGAGCTTTCTTCTTTTTTCTACGTATATTACTGAGAACCACCTGTATAGCAGTGAGAATCAAAATAACCACTAGGTGAATTGCCTCTTCAGAGAAAACTGAGATCTTTCTCAAAGATTTATTCTAAAGTCTTTATTGTCAATAAGAACAGAAAAAAGGATGAAGAAGGCACATATATGTTATGAGGATAGCAAAAAGAAATAAAGAGTGGAACAGTAAAATAAAGGCAATAAATAAAATGCACATACAGAAACCCAACTTAAATCGATTCACAAATAAATACGTAAACAAATCAATAAATTTTCAAAAACAAATTTCTTTAATGTCGAGAGAAGGTTCAGAGACAAGAAAGAACCTCAGAGAATTTCTGGAAACGAAATATCGCATGATTTCGCTAAGCTTTAATTTTCAGCAACTTCGAGAACCCAAAGATTTAAGTGTTAATTAAGAATTTTCACTGCATCGAAAGTCAAACATTTCTGGGAAATTCCAAATAAATTTTCATATGAAGATTTTAATCCACTTTCTCCGTAAATCATGAAATTTAACATCACCAAGCTGCTTGAGAAACTAATGAATGCTAAAATTATAAATAAATTGTCAAAAATATCACCAAATAAATATAACAGGATACGAGCCAGTGAAATGATGCACCAGAGCAATATCAATATGTCATGCATGCACCATTAATGCTCACTTACTGCATGCATATGAAAGCCTTCAATATTGGAATAAGGAACATTTGAAAAAAGTGGAGAAAAAACCAAACAACGACAACATTATTTTCACTCAAAAATTAGACTTCCTCAAGCTCGATATTAGGCAAGAATAGAACCCTACCCACTATTCCCCGGAAAATAGTGACTTTCGTGGTCGCTTGGAATGTTCATGAAGGTTCCCCACTTTCTCAATCTGAAGTATCAAAAGGTAAGAAATAAATGGGAATGAATATTCGAACAAGTAGAACCAAAAAATAAGTGAATGAAATGTTGCTCAAAAAGAAGTGAAAACACCGGAAATAGAAGTGACCAAAAAACGGTGAAAGTGCGATATCACAGCTGTCAAAATGTAGGTACAGTAAATAAAAGGATTTATAGTATGTCACCACTTCCACACCTTACTGCGAAAGCACTATCGGAGTATTTTTTTCATTTTTATTATCTGCAGCAAATTCAATTTCCTGTTTCCGGAAATTCAATTTGTCTAATAGACATGTGACAGAATAGGGATCTCATCCTTCACTTTATATCAATGGTGAGTAATTTTAACTCACCATCAGAACAAAAAGAAGAAAATAGACAAACAAATCAACGAACTTCTCAGTAATGTTAAACTACAAAGAATTTCAGCAATGTTAAACTATAAATGAGAGAAAATAAAAAGAAGTGAAAAAGCGTTATGATATGTCGAAGTGTTATGATATGTCAAGATAAGAAAAAGTAACATGGAAATGCTCGAAAAACACGAAAAAGCATAGAAGAGATTCTTTCCGGAAAAAAAACAAAAAGATAAAAAAGCATATAAATAATATGATCACCTTATATCAAATAGAAAACAATTTTAATTCAGTGACAGAAAGAGAAGTAATTTGAGAATTTTCCTCTAAAATTGAACGGGATTCATTCTGTTTTTCATAAACAAATTGCACATAAAAGTAATTGCATACTTATTAAGAGTAAATAAAAATAACTGAACTCTACAGACTCCAACATTATGTGCTCACTTGCTACTAAAAACAGGTAAGGTAAAAAGTTTTTCTTTGTTCTACAGCTTATCGAAACGGTAAGTAAGACACTGGTAACAGCATTCTTTAAATAGTAATGTGACAACATTTATATATAATGCATGACTCAATTTGATGGGAAACTAAAACTCGCCACTACTATAGTGGCTTTTCCTTGTTTCCTTCCGCTTGCTTCCCTCTCTTACTTAACTTACACCTTTACTTCGGCTCATAATAATCCGTACTTTCTAGCTAATGTTCGATTGAATTCTTGAATCAACCACTGCTGATAAGGATTTGTTCGATCACAAACATTTACCATCAATCTGGTACCATCTCTCGACATTTCCAAACATTTATTGGTAACGACGTGAAGAAATTGACTTTGCTATAAAATAGCGGATTTAGAAAGCTTTGATTCTTCCTCGACAGACAAAAATTGCATAAGATATTAAGGAAAAGTCGAATAAATGAGCAATTAAATCTCCGCTATCAGTATTGTTACCTATTCAATCTTTTTATGCATAAAAAACTGCACTCACATAAAGAAGATATTTCCATTCTTGATTACCCTTCATTCCATGACAAGGATAAACCATAACATCGACACCGGCATAGTCAATACACGACTCATCCCTTCGTATTTCACCATCTTTACTTAGCATCCAGTACTAGATAAATTGATTTTTAAGAAATTTTCGAATGTCGAAAAATAAGTACATTTTCTCAACTATAGAAACGCTTTTCTCGGAATCTGCGCAAATGAGAGCCTCTTAAATATTAGATTTGTAAGTCAAAATGTTAAGCTTCAACGTTTTTTTCAATTTTGTTTTTTCTCTAGAGATATAAAAATTCATTTTGCTTGCAGCATTCCGGTGATGGAAAGCTAATCAGGAAGTTTGGAGTCAAACGGGAACAGTTCATGAGAGTCAATAAATGAGTCGAAATTAAAGAGAAACAATATCAGACGTATTTGGTTTTCGAATACAACTGCCACATGCTAAAAGTGAAACAACAAGTTTCTTCCGAAAAATTTCCAATCATTTCACGATGAAATGACTTCTAGCGAAGTCAGTAGACGCAATTAATGGCACTATAATAACTAGCATGCATGTGTTCTGGTTCTATATATCAGAGATCGTAAAAAACCTAAACAAATATAGAAATCGCTATTGGTCGCCTTTGCTTTTGATGAGTAATCTGGTATTATAACCTGACAGCAAAATATGAATAACTGCTTTCCAGAACATTATTGTTTGCAAAAAATTTTTGAAAATAGTAGCCTATCAGAATTCTCGAGAGAAAAGTAAAAAGTGTGTAACATACATTGCAATCACATTAAAGCTCTGAAGTATACCTGATTACCGCCCTTTTTATGACACCAGTATAGACCCGCATTTACCGATCTTTGCCTTCCATGTGATGCCCAATCTAAACAATTCTTCGATCCTCCTCCTCTGTTGCGAATCTATAGAGACGTATGTTATTCCCTTATGAAGCGAATACTTCATGTATTTCCCACACGGTCATTCCTATCCAAAAAAAAAAAAAAGAAAAAAGAAAAAAAAGCGGTAGTTTTTATGAGATACAGCTGCAGTACCGACTGACACAAAAGACAAACATGGACAAAAAGTGAAACATCGAATATTAAGAAACAGAAGCTGCAAGCAACAATAACTACATCAAAAAACTGCACCCAATATCATTTTCTATATACAAAGGGGACCATACGCAGATTCCAGCAAGCAAGTGCAATCTCAATACAGTCTTTCTGAAATCTTAACATGTAATTCGCCGCTGCATTGCTCAAACAAGCAGCAAACTGGTAGTAAAAGAACAAAGGTGTTACTAAGTAGATTATCTTTAATAATGCCCTGTATCGTGAGTTTTTTTTCGGGTGCCCAACAGTGCTAAAATCAAGAAGTGGGATAAACAACCAAATGACCAAATAGTTCTGGTAATGGAAAAATTATTCAGCTGTTGAATTAAGGAACCTGGTTACCACCATTCCTGTGACATGGAAACGCAATCACGACTTTCTGAATATCTTCGCCCACCTCACTATCCAAACAATGTTGGACAACATCCCCTGCCACTTCGCCTTTATTACGAATCTGAAAGTGATCTTCCCATTTACTCCCTCTGTTTTTTTACCGTTTGTGCAACAGTCAAAACCCATATACATATATTGAAAACTTTAAACCACTGAGAAAGTTGAGTTCACAAGTCTGCTCCAGTTACTTGGTGACATATAAAAAACGCATTCGTCATATAAATTTTTAAATTAAGAGTTACCATAGTAACTCCTGCCACTTCCAGAAAGTCTAGCAAATTTCGTATCCAGCTAGTGTACAGATAGAAGAAATACACAAATTCGCTGTCCACTTAAAGTATTTCCTTCCCGAGACTAAAAATTCCATGTAGTAAAGGATTTTATAGGTCAAGCCAATGTCAGCAGCAAAACTCTATATCCCAACTTGATATATTTCATCAGCAAACTATTTGATGACTAATTATCAGAGCGTAAATGATCTGGACCAACTTGAAATATTTGATAACACGATGTAAGATATTAATGCAATATAAACAAAGGGATTTAGCTACTGCAAACTAAAAAGTGCATGTAGAATGAAATGCACCCATCATTCCTGCATTGGTTAAAAAATTAATGGATTAGTACTCAAACTGTTATACATGGACAATTATTACGAATCTGGTGGACAGTGCCAAAAACAAGGGAAACATCAGCACAACTAAAAGAAATGAAAGATCAGCAAATTGCAGCATCCAAAAACATGATGGGGGAGGGACATATATCCGAAAAAAAATCTAAATTCCTAAGTGCCGAAGCAGAAGTTTAAAATTATCAGTAAATAATTTAATAAGCAATATCTTAATGCTGAAAAAAAATACCTCTCCTTTTCCAATAGCATCTCCTGGAACAAACAATTCCGGATACACATTATCCAGATACCATTTGAAAGATTTACATTGTAGTTTTTCACGCAATGCTTTTCTGCTGCTTACATCACCAAAATCACCCTAATTATTAATGACAGTTTAGTCTATCTTTCATTTTTTGCTAAAAAATGTATGGATCACATGGACAGCAGAACGAGAAATTTTTTCCCTTGTGCTCTCCTTTCCAAACTTCGAGGAAGTAAGCGTTAGAAAATACAAATGCAAGAAAGAAAATTCATATAGAAAAAATCTAAGAAATGCTAGCAAAATTTGTAATTCACTTCCACAAGTGATATCGAAAGAAGGAAACTGAAAAATGACATAAGAAATGTTTGTCTTTCTTACATTTGTTGCTTTGAAAAAGGAAAAACTTTACCAAGTTATTGTTAATCCTCTCATAGTAATACTTTTTGTACTCGTCCATCCATACCTACAACCCATTTCTTCATCTTTTCATTTGGCAGATAACAACATAATCTTAAGGTGCTACCCTCAAAATTTCCAAAAAAAAAGAAGTTGCACCTGTATCATAAAAACTGTTATATCATAATCAATTCAGGAATATACAGAACCAGAAGACAACTTCGAGGATTCATGCAACTTACTTCAGCTAAACGAACAGAATTCCTCTTCAATACATTCACACCAGAAAGCCATTTATAAGGTGACCGTTTCCGAAATATATGACCAACGTGACTGCACGGAACAATCTCCAATATTCCACCACACATCCATGTCTAGAGAAAATATTTATTTTAATGGATAAAAGTAAAAAAGAGCAAAATAATGGCCGAAAATCTCATGTCATCAAAAATATTAATTGTGGTTTCATGAAATAATATAGGCCTCATTTATACCTCAATTAGTTAAAGCATGAGGAAACTTTTTCGATTGTAGACACCGCAGTTAATACACCAACGAGAAACCTGCTACAAAAAACAAAATTTTTTTCTAACGTTAATAATCCCATAAATATTTTTCAGTAATATGATCGTAATCAACTAACTTTGAATGAAAGTTCCAAATTTTCCCCACCCCAAATATCGAGACCAGGATCATAGGATCCTAATTTTTCGAAAAAGGTACGATCAATGGAAAAAAGGCCACCAGCCATGGTTGGAGACCTGAAAAGAGATAAAGGATTTTAAAGCATGCATAACCGGACAACCAGGAAATCAGTCACATTTACTTAACGTTACCCCTCCCCCCTCTCCCCCATTTTCTAGTATTGGATGAGAAACTCTGAGTGACCGTGCTTCATTTTCATATTTAGAAATATTCATGCCTTTCAAGACAAATCATAGTAACATCCTGGTACCAAATTATTCAAAATACTGATTTTAAGGTCAAAATTCGTACTTGACGGGGTCTATATCCCTTCTACCTTTACGATCCTTCTCAGGAATGGCATGCCAGTTAAACTGTAATGACCAATCGAAACCACCCACATTCGTGAAGTAAGCCTTCGAGTAGTGGTACTCAAAGGTGTTATCATCAATTACGTCAATAACAGGGCATACCACTGTTTTCGGATTTTTTTTGATTCGATCCAAAAGAGGTTCCATCCAACCTGGAACAGAACTTTGAAATAAATATTGCAAATATACATTCCCCATTAACCTTAAAGATCTTACAAGACATATTATAATAGTATCCCGACATTAAATTATTTTCTACCAGGAAATAATTTCATTTCCATTACCTGCACATACAGTATTTTTGGTTCATAAACTAATGCATACAAAATAAAAGGGAATTGAAAACTCTGCTTAAAGTTCCACAGGAAAGAAGAGCAGGAAAAAAGTGAAATGTGAAGTTAAATTACCTTCCAAACATTCGCAGTGAGAATCGAGGTATGTAATCACAGAACCTTTTGAAATAGCGGCTCCTTTGATGCGCGCCCTTATTAGACCTTCACGTTTTTCTAGGCGTAAAATACGAACTTTCGGAAATTGCCGCATATAAATTTCCAGACTCGCCTATATGCAACTATGTTTCATGCATATCTTCTGAATGGAGCAGAAAACATACGAAATCTCGCATTATTTTCAATACATCCAATCATTACAGTAATTTGGCATTCAGTGTGGACAGTATCCCAACAAGCTGATGGACAAGGTTTCATGAGCAAGAACTTGTAGCAGTTTCATTTCGACCTAGCTAAAATTTTTCGAGAATATGCCCACTGCGTTTTGATGTGGAAGGAAATCGAAATAGGATTTTTTGAAAGTTTTGGTACATTTCCCAAATAACTTGAGAGTTTCCCAAATTTATCAATGCAATTTTGTGAACTATGGGGAAGAAAAAACCTTGAGATGTGCCATGTCCGAAAAATCATCAACCAAGATAATCTCAGCAAGTAAATTTTCTGGTGTCCTTTCAAGTACACTATGTACAGTTCGGAGCAAAACTGACCAAGCTTCGTTATGAAAACATATGATAACCGAAGTGTTCGGAAGATCGTTTGCATATTTTTCAGTTTTGCATCTAGAATAACATAAGAAATTTCCCAATTCAAGCAAATAAATGTTGGTTTTGATAATGTCACGTGAAGGACTGCATATACCGATTGCAAAACTGATAGGAAATCAGCCCGATGAGGAAATGAATGATTTCAAATTGAATTTTTTGTTTCTTTCTTACTATTGAGCACACTAATCGTTAAACTGCAACAAAAAATTCCATGTTCTGATATGCACAGAACAGAATAATAAATTCAAGCAAATAAATGTTTTTTTTTAGACACAATATCTCTATCATTCACTGAATTGCTACTGATACGAATGAAAGAAACTCTAACAAACCTCCTCATTTGCAAGAAAAGTAACAACTGCGTAAACACAGAGATGAAAAAAAAATAATTTTATTTCTTTCTTATGAAGAAAAAATGTCAAAAATAACCCACTCTTCATCGATATAACTAGGCAAACTCCTGTGTATCGAAATCATATCTGAGACGTACTGGTTAAAAGCGTTTTTGTTAAATCCGTCATCGTAAATTCTTTTTTCACTAAAAGCCAGTTTCTGAAAAATAACATGCATATGTTCAGATCAAGTCGGCAATTACTTAAATTTGCAGTAAAATTAATCGAAGATGACATTAGAAACACTAACGTTTCTGTCGATTATCACTGCTTTTCCACCTTCACCCGGTTGATGTTCATCACCCGATTTGTAGATAGGAGAATCCCGGTTGAACAGAGCTCTGTTTGGATTAGGAATATTCCACTACAATTAATGCAATTTATGATAAAAGATTTGCCCTATCCCGTTTACAAATTAAAATATTGCAGTGGCACAACGCATGACCATAATTAGTTGGCAGTAAAATTGTTTGATAACCAATTCAGAAATATACCTCGTTAATCCTCACATCGATATTTTGTACAGGAAACTTCTGCTCGACCTCAATGGCAGATTTGATTGGTATAGGAGGGCCGAAGCCTTCTAATTTATGTAATTTTAGTAACTCAACTCTTGAATGCCTCACAGAAGGGACCTGAAATTTTGCCCTCTGTCGCACTTCACTTTTTTTCTATATCAATTTTTAATTACATTACACAGAATTCCAAGTATTAAAGGCCGAATTCTGTACCCCAAAATGGAATAACTTAACTTCTCGAAAAAGCGAAAGGCGAAAAAATAAGTACATCACTGAATTTTTAGATTAGCACCACTATACAAAAATCAAGAGCTATACAGAAAAACTCGTCATTATTTACGGATGTTAATTGAGCTTCCAATTTGCGCTTGTTGATCAATCAGTGATAACAATTAGCATATCCACCAACCCAGTGATTTAAAATTGTTGGATTGTATAAAGAAGGTATTTACCATCTATCAAAATACAAATCCACCAAAACGAGTTATTTTACCTTATCTGGCACTTTCGTAGAAACAGCAAAATACAGTATAACACACAACCAAACTACTGATATCAAAAGTATTAGTTTGAAGACAAGTGACCGTCTTCTTGGGATTACCAGAGCACCCATGTTACTACTGAGTAACACAACAGTCAATTTGTAATCCCCGAAGACGTCAGGTACCAGAAGTCGCCGTTTTTACTTTCTGAAATGAATTTGATCGATAAAAAAGTAACAAATGAGATATTCAGAGCAGTAACATCGAATTAAATTTGATTTACCTTTTTTCGATATGAGATATTTGTCTCATCGACAAGTAATTATTCAGTTAAAAAAACAAAATGATCCAGTTTCAAGGTATTAATTTACTTATCGTGTTTAAACGGAGGGGCTATTGAAGGGTCAAAATATATAATGAAGAATAATAGTGCGACTAAAGTGACGTAATGCTGGAAGAGATGGAATACCGTCAGCATGTCAATTAAATTAATTATCGAACAAAGAACTTTTTTAGTAGGAGAGGGGTGATTTGCAATGAAAAAATTACAGAATAAATAAACCTTCCAGATGACATTAAAAAAAAAAAACTCGGAATTACAAAATGAAATTCTATTCGTCACATTGATCAGCGAGACAGTAGTGGAGCTTACTCGTTTTCTCACTTGTTGGTCAATGAGCTTCCTTGCATATTTACTTTGTGTAAACAAATCAGACACTTCCTTTCAATTTTCAGTCAGTAGTTGAATAGTGCCTCAACATTGAATGGACGATATGTCCGTGTTTCGTATGCTAACTAAAAAAGCGATCATTTCTAAACATTTAAAAAATAAAATATTTCAATTCATTAAAAGTGCAATGACCATTGACTTGTACTGACTGCATATAAGACACATTATGGGCGGATACAAAAATTAACTTTACTACTTCTCTAACTTCATCATTCTTCCTCATAACTTGTCAACATGGCAGTTTATAATATTATAGCAGTTAGGAATATAAAAAGATATTTCGGGTAAAAAAAGTTCTAGACAGGAAAAAAAAACCTACTTCAAATGACCATTTGCATACAAGGCAAACAGAGAGAGAGAGAGAGAGGAGGAGGAGGAGAGAGAGAGAGAGGAA